GCTTTTCCCAATCTAATTCTGGTCCAAAACGAGCCTCCCATGGTCGCACTTGAATGACGTACACCGGCGCTGCCAGGCTAAAGGCTGCGGTGTCGGAGTGCCGCGAACGTACCAATCCAGGGAGGGTTGAGGGGTTTGAAGGGTTTGACGGGTTTGAGGCGTTTGAGGGGTTTTGAGGCCTGGTAAACGACACAATCTATTTCCACCAAAAACTACTCCAAAACAGACTCAACTGCTCGCACATTCGGGGCCAAACGTTGCGTTTGGATCCCTAGAAAAAAAAACTAGTACATTCTGGCCCATCCGTACCCTGTGAACCTGAGCACCGGCACAGACCTTGCCACAAGAGATTCACAGGCACCGGCATCCATGGTGAGCACTCCCACACCTGTAATCCCTGGCGCGCTCCCCCTTTCTTCAGCCGGGGTCGGCGGATAGAGGAGCGCCTTCCGGTTTTCCAGTGCAAAAGTCTACTGTCCGCATTTGAATTCGTTTGGACACTTTCGGGGGCAGTCCTTGGACATTTTGCTGTGAACTGTGGTGTTGGTATGTGTTCATGTTACCTTGAATCTACTTCAAGCAGAGATCACGGGCAATTTACACAAGGTTGGTTGTTTGGTCCGTGGACAGGGTCGTAGTACGAGGACAATTACTTGGCACTTTCGGCTCAAAGACTGTGATTTACTCGCTCGGATGGGTAGTGGCGTCACCCATGGAACTACGACGCCGGTGCTTCCTTTCAGCTCGGAGCATCCCGAGCATGTAAAGAACTCTCCGGAGACCAGTCAACGAACCAGGTTCCGGCCATTGATGAGATCTGCTAGGCTGATTTCGAGACTCCGATTTTCAATACTTTCGAGAGTAACTGAAAGGACGAGTCGCCGGACCAGTAAAAGTGCAGCTTCAGCAGCTTCATCTTCAGATTCAAATGCCAGAGAACTAGGAGCGAATCATGTCAGATTGCAAGATCGAGCAGCTGGAAGCTCCCGATGGGGGTTGTTTTAAGGTGCGCACGGTGCTGTTGGCCAATATGGGCACCCGTAGTGGGCACCCGTGTGTTTGCACATTTGGATTGGGCCTTGATTCATGAAAGGCGCGTTTCGTGCGGAAAACGTGTAGACGATGATTTGCAAGGGGTCTAATTGTCCCACAGCAATCGCAAAGCGTTCATTTCTAGCGCACATTTTGACGCAGACAATTCCCACTGCTTTCACAAGGACAGTCCATCACCAGAGGGTACGAACGGGTAATTACGAACCCAACAGCCTAGTCTTTCAAACGTTCGCCGCTGCAAAGAGTGCAGCATTACAAAAAGCGGCAAAGTACGTTATTATGGGCCAGACCAGACCACTTATCTCACGAACATAAAGTTCCACAAAGCAAGCGCGACATCTTTCGCTTACAGCGAGTCAGGTCATGTGAAACTGCGGCTGCGTTGGACACATTCAGCGACACCCTAAGAGTCTCCCCTGGAACTGACCAAATCGCATGCTGAAAAGCAGCTTGCACGAACGAAACGCAAAACAGATCAAAACAAGGTGTCAACGATGGTCAACAGTACTAGTTACTATGGACCCCGCGTGTTTTTAGCGTTGTTGGACCTTCTAGAGACGTTGCCGTGACCATCAACAATCATGACCTTCTGATGGCTGGGGAGGTTGGGGGTTGGGTGTGATATGCGTTTTATGAACTGCATTTTTCATGTGCATCATCTTCATGATTGGAGTCACATGAGTCACCGTCAGAGCGAGAAAGAGGGAGAGAGAGATGAGTCAGACACTAATAGCAATGGCCTCCAACCTAATGGCACACTTTTTTAGACATCATATTTTGCCGTTCTTCCTTTTCTTGTTTTGTCTTTGTTTCTACTAGCGATGGCCTCCAACCTAAGAGCGACGGCCTCCAACCTATTATCGCACCTTGGTAAGCTCACCTGTCACGCGCTATGCTCACACATGTCGGATGCAACATTCCGGATCAAGGGCATAGAATACTTGCGCGATCTTGCGCGCGGGTGTGAAGGCAAGACGTTTCGATTGCTGCAGTTGCTTTCAGATTGCAGAACTTGGGCAGAATACTTCGTAGTGTAGTCCGGGGTGCCACGCGTGGCTTGAAGATTCTAGATATTCCAGATCGGCGAGCTGACAGCCTCCATTGCTGTCTTCGAACCCGTCTTCGGAGGGCATTTCTGGCGCAGGTGCCCCATGCTCAACCTGAAAGCTGCCCGTGAGCTGGCAGCCAAGGATCGTGCTTAAACTGATCACAAGCCCTTCAGCTTACAATGCTTATATACAGCTTCAGAAGGCTTCAAAAAACTGATGAACACTTGCCTCTTCAGAGAATCACTGCCTTGGAGTCCCAACAAAACATCGACCAGAGCCGCAACAAGTAGATGGTGTGACCCTGTCATGTCATGGGCTCTCGATATTTCTTTGAGTGCCAACAACCGCCTACTAAATCTCTTTGGGTCAGTCTTTGAGGAACGCAACCTTCAATCTTCGGCCGGTCCAACTTCTTGCCCACGAAGCTCCTAAACGCATCACATGGGGGCAAATGTCAGACCATTTTCGACTACTACGACTCGTCGGGTCGCGTCTCTTCTTCCGACCACAATTTCGCCGCGCCCGAAGGAGCTGGGCACATCGCCCCGGCGAGAAGACAGCACCGGCCGAAGCGCGAAGCGCAGTGCTGCGGGCAGCGTCAGTGTGAGCCTCAGCCGGGCGATGAAGTACTGCCTACTGGGACTAGGCGGTGCTTTTGGAGGCGGCGAACGTCGCCAGGTCGCACGGCGACGCTTCGGCCGTCCAGGTCCGCGCCACCGCGATGATGCCTTAGTTCTACGTGCCCAGTTCTCCGTGGGCGACCGGGTGGAGTACCGCAGTGACACCCACCGGCAGTGGTTGCCGGGGACGGTGTGAGACACTGAGTGTGTCGTGAGACACTGGAAGAATTATTGAGAAGTGAGATTGGTTTGCGTATGTTTGCGTGTTGCGTTTGGAGTTTTGAAGTGCACGACGAAAGGACATGCATGCAAATATGGCCCTTAAGACAAGTCAATGACAGCGATTGCAGTCTCGCAATTTGCCTCGTGGCATGTCGTACGTAGCATCGTCTCCAGGCAACGTATCCGAGAAAATGGGACCATCTACGATTTGGATGTGAAAAAAGGACTGACTGTATGACAAGCCAAGCACTCTTGGTGGACTAGTAGCTTCTTGTTCCTTGTATTATATAGTATTATTGTCCGGATGTTCATGAAGAACTTCGCACGCCTGACACACACACACATGTTGTTCCAAAAGGGATGACCTCCAACGTAATAGCAATGGGAGGTGATGGTTTTGGAGAATTTGATTCACCGGATCTCACAGCTCAACCGCCTGCCAGGAGCTCAAGCCAGCAAGCTGAGAAGGGCCTTGGATGATCCTCTCGACCGTCACTTGGTGCAGTTTGGGTGCAGCGTGGCACTAACGATGCCTTAAAAAGTTTGAAAGATCTTGTGGATGGCTGGAGTTAAGTTCTTTGCTTTGTGGACCGATCCAACTTGATTTGTGCTCATCTCTGTCGACTTCACGATTTTCGCACAGGTGAGGTGACGGCCAGGCCTTTCAGAGCAGAGCCCGTGACCGCGGTCTACAGGTGCGGCCCTTTTTCCTGAAAAGCAGGATCAACTGCTCCAAGACACACGTGACTCCAAAAAGCAAAACGTGTGGCAGAGACCAAGACGATGTGTTTTTGTTGAACAAGTTGACCATGGAGGTTTTAATACGTTATGTTCTTTAACGTATTAATTATGTTAATATATTCCGTTAAGTTATATTACATACTTCTAGAGAGAGAGAGAGAAAGGCCTATTTACACAGATATATATTCATATATATATATATATGTATAAACAGACTACATATATATATATATACACATACACATACATATATGTTAGCAATATGTAGTAGGAATATATATATATATATAATATATTTATGTATATTTGTTTTAACCAATGCAGGCTTGTGAAGTCCTGACTTCCCTCGAGGCCTGAGCCTTCCGCTTCCTCCCCAAGGGAGTCCAAGGAGCCTCGTCGCCCCCGCGACCTGAGCACCGAGCGAAGATCCCCGAGAGATCGACGGAGCGAAGATCCCCTGGAGCGAGCCATGGAAAAGACCGAGGTTCAGGCGCCTTTTCTCGGCGCGAAGCACGCTTTTTGTTTGTTTTTTGCTTCCGAGGCTGGTTTGACACGTTGGGAGAGAAGCAGCTCTCACAAGAATCACAAGAAGGATCAAGAAGGGCTCCTCAATAGCTTTCTGACTTGGTGATACTTGGTCTTATGTTGTGTTCTGCGTTTCGTGACACCCAGCTTCAAATTGCTATATACTTCCATGCAATACATCGACACATGTTCCTGATTTCACTGTTTCAGCCCACCATTCACCAAGGGTGGATTTGTACCCCCATGCAACTCTCTGGTTTTTGCGTGCTTTCTGGAGGTTCGGCCATACTTGGATGCAGCTTGGCATCAACAGTGTCCGCGAGTAAGATTGTGCCTCGATAGGTGGGGTGTTTTCAGCTTGTATAGAGGCTTTTAGAGGCTCTTAAGTTGGACTGAGGGCATTCGGGCACCAGCAGTCCATGATGAAGACGAGATGAGAAAGAAGGCTCTCGGTGAACCGATAAGAGATGCAGTTTGGTTCAGCATTGGCCGTCACATCTAGCACTGTAAACCAAACACGCATGCATGTAATTATGACTCACTTGCTGTTGGGTTGCTGCACAATCCAGTTGATGCCACGCAGACAGAGCCAATGCCAAGTACGAAGGCCACATCTTCGGTTCAGAACCGACCGTCGCTTGGCACTCCCTCTCCCCTCCAGGACGGAGCAGTGGTGGGCTGGGCCGCCAACGCAGGCCGTGAGATGGCCTCACGGGCTGGTGCCGTCACAGTACGCAGGCCGACTCGGGAGAGGTCAGAGTCATAGGGGGTGGACTGGTGGATGTGTGATGGCAAACATTGGGACACTTAGATTGCTTAGGGGCGGCATATGTCCTTGCAAGAAAACGACATATGGGACGCGTGGGAACATGTGAATTGATCAAGCAAAAACTGGGCACCTGAACCCACTGTGAGCGTTTGCCATGGCGGCCTACATGGCCCTACCGGCCAGGATGGTCCAAACGACCAAGCTGCTCCTGCAGAACCTGGAAACAGCTCTGATGCTTCGTGCGGGCTTTTTGGCCAATTGCTATCACAGATGGCATTTGGAGGCCGAATTCATCAGCTAACCCAGGTGTGCACCGTGAATCACAGTGTCAAACGTATATAATATATAATATGTCATCCACTTCTTTTTAAAATAGTGCTCGCGTCTACAAGACGCAAATGGGCTGGTGAAGTCTTTTGCGCCACTTCCAGGTGCAATTTGCCAAGTTGGATGCTCATCACCGAGAGGCCTGCAATACAGCTGTGATGGTTCGTCCTCGCGGACGCGTTGGATGTTGCATGCCTGGCATGCGTTGCATACACGTTGCGTTGATGGCACCGACTGGCGCCACAGGAACTGGAACAGCATCATGATGCCTGGGCCGCGCATTTTAAGAATCACCAGCTGAGCTTCGAGGTCGGACTAGTAACAAGGGCATCGACTATTAGTAACAAGTGCATCGCTATTAGTCACAAGAAGCTACTAGTAACGGCGGCATGACTACTTAGTACCTAGAAGCTAGTGGGACTCGGCGAAGAAAGGACGAGTGAGACTGGCCTTGCAACCGACTCCGTTCGAAGGATCGGAATCGAGCGAAAGAACGATGGGTGACGTCCAAAACAGACTTGAAGCAGTAAGGGTCCAAAGGGTCCAAAGGGTCCTGGAGTTCTTTTTGATTTTGTGGATTTTGGCAGGAAGAGCTCGCGAAGCATGCGCGGCATCAAATGACCGCGAAGGAGAAGCGCCAGCAGCAGGCCATGCTCATTGACGCCTGGGCTCAATGGAAGTTGCTTTAGTTGCCAAACGCTGCGATAGCACTTTTTGAAGGGACGCTTGCCATATACCATAATATGCATCGCAAGTCGGATGGATGCAAGTCTTCAAGCAAAGCAACGCAGCTGAGCGTCTCTGACAGAGTCTCTGACAACTTGAGACTTGGGCAGGGCGTCCTGTCCAGCCCAGTGTGATTGGAATATAGTACGCCACACAGGTGGTACTCTTGGCCCGCTACCGAGGTGGATCAATGGGCCGAGGGTGATCGGAAAGGTCTCTTGCGGAGGGTCTTTCGCTCTTGGTCCCAGTACGCAATCCAAGACTCTTGGCAATGTTGAGACTTGTGGAAACTGAAGTGCCACAGACAGAATGATCCGCTGTTGAGGCTTCACGCCAAAGCTGGCTGACTAGGGAGTTCCAGAGAGAGGGGACATGAGTGAACTTGAGCTTGAGAAAAGCCAATGGATCGTTTCCTTCAAAGTTATCTACTGCTTCTTTGGTCTCTTGATCCGACTCAATCGCCCCCGGCCTGACTTAGGAGCGGTACCTGAAGCGCGCCGCAGCTAACGTTCACATGGCCGTGTTCGGCCACTTGTTCGTGGGGAATTTTGTTATACAATATAAACCTATCCCTTCAGGGAACCCTGCTTGTCAAAGTGCAAGAAGGTTGGAACACATGGTTTCCGACTACTCAGACTACTCACTGCTCATTTGGATGTTGAACCTGCATGCTAGGCTTCAATGTGTTAGCGTGTACCGAGGCTGGGTGGAGGGCAAAAGCAAGGGCTTGAAGCACAGCTGCTTCCTCTCGTGGCATCATCAAGCTCAAAGCGAATCCTTGGCGTCTCGCTGGAGAACACCGCGAGAGAGATGAGAGATGAGAGAGTTTTTGGAGAGGTGGGGCGGTTGACAAAGCTGGAAGGAACACTTGCACTGTCTTGGTGCGCCTTTGGCATCCTATGGCTTTAAGCTGAGGTTAGACAAAAGGAAGCAGAATTGGCTTCTGCCAAGGGCTCCTTTGAGAAAGACAAGGCCAGACAACTCTTGCTTACTTTGCGTTTGACTTCAGAGTTTATATATATATATTGTTCCTTAGGACTTTTGACAGGATTTGCCATAAGGTCAAGGGTTTGATTTGATTAGGTAATTTTGCAGGACTTTTTGCAGGTCCCCCTAAGGAATCCGGTACTATACTCGCCGCGAAGAGTGAGCAACATCACCACGTGGTCCATTGGCCCAACGCGTCGTTTCTGCAGGCTGCTCAAGACGCTGCATTCATGCGAAAGCTTCAAGAGATCGAAAGCACCTTGGCCCGACAGACGCGAAAACATCGTATCGAAGTCATGACACAGGTATACACAGGTTGTGACCAAGCTTGCTGCATAGGGATGCATTATTTGATCCATGTCTTGCTGTAGACACGCGCGCTTTTGTTTAACATATACATTACATGTATATAACTAAAATATAGCATGTGCAATTCCCCCAAGGAATTTGGTGATTGTGAGGGCTTGGTTGTTGCATTTGGAGAGGGCTTTGGGAAGATCCCCACAAAGAACAAATTGACCATCGAAACGACCACAGCATTCAGGTAAGCGGAGAGACAACACCAGTGGTGTCGAAGCAGTGCTGGCGAGCTGGGCCAAAGGAAAGAGCAAGGCAACGGGGCGTGAGATGTTACATGAAATCTGATGTAAAAGGGTACAGAGATGATCAAAGATGAAAATAGAACGTTCAACATGAAGCCCGTTTGTTTGACTAGTTCCCTCTACCAACCGGAGCCCGTTTATGTCACCGAAGCCTGCAAAGCCTGTAGGGCTCGATGGCGCTGGTTTGGAAGCACTGGATCACTTGGTCCAAGGAGAAGCGGAACCGATGGGCAATCCATAGGAGAGGATGGAGTTGGGGATAAACCACATGGAATTTACATGATAAGTAATTATACGCGGTATTATTTATGACACTCTATGGTCCAATATGGTCCATATACTGGTCCATATTGTTCCATCAAGAAGTGCCGCGCAGACCCCAAAAAGAAGGTCTTTTGCGGGGGGGGACGATGTGGGACGGCACCACTTATACACGTTGTGGCCCCAGATGATCACTCACCAGGCATATCCCAACTTCCGATCTCTCGTTCAACATCGTTCGCTTCCAATTGGAAGAGCCTGGAACAAGATAACAACAAGATCCCCCGCACAACCATATACGTCCTGGCCTCCACGCAGTCCTCCACGCCACTCCGCCGAGTCTCGACGTCTCGTCTCGTCTCTCCAGGACCGCGCGCGGCGCGACCGACGCCACGAAGGGATCCAACTGCAGCTGCGGCGCTGGGCGGAGGGCGATCGCCGCGGCCTCGTGCATGGAGCCGCCGGGGGGTGCAGAGAAGTGGGCCATAGAGACGGAGCAATCAGTTAATTCAGAACGAGTATTTACTGTATAAATTGGACTCTTGTTTCTACTAGCTTGTTACTACTAGTAAGGCACTTGTTACACTTGTTACTAGAAGCGATGCACTTGCTACTAGTAGCGAACGTGCAAGATCGTGCCCAAATTGATCAAATTGAAGACCATTTAGATACAAATTCAGCCAAGTGGTCCAATATACTGGTCCCCTGAGAGAGGAGGAAGCGAATTCTTCCATCATTTCTTCAGCCCACCCTCCTTTTCGACCTCCAAAACGCCACTCGGCGGAGGAGTTTGGCTGCGCTGGCGCCATGAGGCGCAGCAGCGGAGGACCGCCTTGCAGGCGCAGAAGGCCGTGGAGTCCGAGGCGCGGACGTTTGTTTTGAACGGGAGGCGCCCGGGGGAGACAGGTTGGGCTGTTTTAAGTGTTGGGTGAGTGGGTTGAAATCAAAGCTCAATCAAGTTGTTTGCAAGAATAAGCTGCATATAGTTGGGGTCCAAGTCAATGTGACCACGTGCGACCCCTTCGCGAGAGTCGCTTCGAAGCCTCCGAGTGAATTGCGCGCGCGGCTGCGCTGCTTGGTTGAGGCGAAAAAACTCGAGAAGCTCCTGGACGATGAGAGGAGGTGAATCCCATCATGGCAGCTTGCTTGTTTTCCTCCACGAGTCATGTTCGCCTTCGGGTTGAACTAGGAACATCAGTGTGGCAGCGCCATAGATTTGTTACATAGATCGTTGGCATGCAAATGAACATGGCACAAGTTTCGTTCGATCTCGAAACCGGAATGCAGCATGTTCGCCTGCAAGACACTGCTCGTCTCGCATCCAGGAGGGCAGCAGCTTTGGAGAAGCAAAATGCCATGTCTGCGGAACAGCGGAAGGAAGCTGCCAAGAGGCTTCTTGTTTGGTGATGTGTAGTTTAGTTCTTTAGTGAACTTCATAGCAGATTGACTCTCCTTCAAGAGTTGATAAGCCGCTGTGTCGCGCATTGCGGTCGTCCAAGAGCATGGTATCCGAGCTTGCTTGTTTTGTGTTTGTTCTGTTTTTCGGCTGGTTCAGCCCGGATGTTCTGATTTGCTTGGCTGCAATTATTCCTCACCCTCGCCGGTCCATGTTTCCGTCTTCACGTGTGGACCAAGCTGAGGCTAATGCAGTATGTTGCGGCAAAATGGGAGTACGGTGACAAGAAGGGAACTCTCAAAGGCATCATGAAGGGTTGGTGCAGTTGCTCGTCGGCAAGGTTGCTGACATTTGTGTGAAAGGTTGCCAGCAACGAACTCGCAGTTGCTCCTGGTCATTGAAGGTGATAGAACGACTGTCGCGGGGGACACCGTCTCTTCACGGCGAAGGACGGCGAACATCATCGCCGGTCGCACTGAGGCTATGTGCTGGATGCCAAGCGCCACTCCAGACGTCGCCAAGGAGTCCATGATGCCGTGCTCAAATCTCTGCTTGGAGAGGCGCGGAAGTGCCGGACGATGCCAAGATGAGAGGGATGGTTCGTTCTGAGCAACAAATAGGACATGAGACCAGAAAGAAGGTGTACCAAGGAATGCTCGTTCCCCCAGATTGATATGCTACATTGAGATCAGGCTGATCAAGCATTTGCAGACCGAAGTTGTGCCGGTCAGTCTAAGCAGCCCAATCTTCAGTCTGAGCCGATGGTTCGTGAAAGGTTGATCGGGGCGTTCAAGTCACTAAGTCAAGAAAGCAGCATTGTGCGGAGGCCCGCGGTAGCGCCAAGCTCGCCTTGATGAATTGGCATAGCTTGACGAAGGATGAGAAACGCATGCGTCAGATGGAAGACGTGCGACCTGGTCGGCAGCGATCGGAACCAAATTACCCTATAGCTTGGTTCAACGAAACCCCTGTGGAGGCGTTTTTCTATACCACTGTCAAGGGAAGCTTCAAATGTATCTAAGCCTTTGTCAAGCCAAGGTCCGGTAGATATATGCCAAAAAGATCTGAAGCAAAAGCACTATCATCACAGAGCTTGCTCAAAATCCCACCTGTGTCGTAAACTTGTGGGTCATCCAGTGAAAAGTTATTCCAACATGATATTCCAACTGCTCACCCTCGTCTGGAATGATAACAGTAATAAGATTCTATGTGAAAGGGGTCTGGAATAAACAAACATTCCAGGCTATAGTCATGTGGTCCCCAAGCTAAGGCATAGGTCATAGGCCATGTTTTTCTCCTTTGACCTTTATTGGCGAAGCGTCTCTCTCGCCATGTTTGCAGTCCAAGGGAGCGGAAAGCCAATGAGAGGTTGGACAACTTCATGAAGGACGGGAAGTGTGCGGAATGTGCGGAATGTGGCAAGTGCCTCTGACCGCGGTGTTTTCATGGTTGGACCCTTCATGAGAACATCCTTCGAATTCGGAGGACAAAGATGCCGAGCACGAGAAGATGCTCCAGAAGGCTTACAACTCGGTCGATGCCATCAAGGCACCTTGACCTATTGACAGCTGTGCGGTCAATACACGTGGAAGATCTTGACATGAATGACCTTCATCCAGAAAAGGTCCAGGGAACCTGTCCAGGGTGTGATGTTGATTTTGAGTGCCATGGGGTGTCATTCTTCGTGGAGGGGGGGCGTATATAGTGAGTCGTCTACGCGCCGCGAGGCCAGAGCTCATCATGCCACACAGATGGTCTTGAGAAGATGGTGCCCGGAATGCAAGTTGACACCTTCCAGTAAGAAAAAACACGCCATCTCTTGTCTTGTGTTTTGGCCAAGGATGGGTGGCGACCGAAAAGGGATCCTGTCACAGTTTTTCCAGGCAGGGAAAGGGTTCGAAAAGAGTCAAATGTGGTGTGTCAGGTTGCGGCACATGTGGGGGGGTACAAGACATATTTCTTGCCATCAGATTCATAGTGACCGGCTTCATCAGATCATTGAGATCTATCATCTATCTATCCACTCGTGACTCGCTTCAGGACTGGCAAGAATACGTCAAGGTGAAGATGCACTCAGCAGCGCAAAAGCAGAGTGTGAAAGATTCGGTGATGCGATGCTGGGCGTTGAGGAGGCTTTTAGCATTTTTTGCCCACTAACTGCTAAAGCTTGGAAAGGATGTTGCCTGGGAACCCCGTTTTCTGCGGGCTTCACCTGTATAGCCAAGGATTTATTGAGGGTGACCAGCGTGGTTCTATGCACTCATGCAGCGTGGTTGCAATCACGACCCCTACATTGTGGTCGAATAGAATAGGGTGCATCATGTGCATCCCAAACCCTGATGAGATGAGTCAGGGACGTGTCATGTCATGATGTTTCCTGCAGGGAGTTGTGGAGTTTTGTTTTTCCGACTCATGACCTTCAGCTGGCTCAGGGGCCCAGACACGGGATAGGTAGATAGGTACGGTACACCTGCACGTTTTCTGGGCTGCTCAGGTTATCTGGGATGGATGAACTACGTGAAGTTTGAATTGAAGCATCATCGTTTGGCCCAACAGCAGCAGAAAAAACTAGAGGCGCTTGTGAGTCTATGAGTTTCAAGTCATTGTCGAACAATGAGACCGTGAAGAATGGCCTCAACACGTTTCTAGTCAAGCTTGGACAACAATATAACTCCATGTTAGATGTTTGGGACGATTTATGATATTTATGTTCTCGTTGAGTGGATTTTCCACGTCTTTGGTCACAGGACCTTGAGATGCAAATGTCCAAAATGCAGCAGAAGCGCGAACACCAGATGATGAGGCGCTTGTGTTTGCCAACGGGCGTCGGTTTTCCCACATGTGTAGCGCATTTTTGCTTTGACAACTTGATGGTGCTGTGGTGCTGGTGTTGGCAACATTGGTTTGACTTCATCTCTGTTGTTGGTGAGCACTGTTGAGAGCTGGTGTGGATGTTGACGGGACTTTGTTCCGCAGGTGTGCTGAAGCTTTTGCCGGTAAAGGGAGCGTGCTCAAAGGAATGGTTCTTCGACAGTGGCATGAGCAGAGTGTGGGCCACTAGCTCAGTCGCTTCTCGTTTTCGGTTGCCCATGGCCCAATATAGCCCACATAGTAGCCCACATGTGCCCAACTGCCAGCCGCGTTCCGACATCACATCCTGACCATCGGCCGTTTCCAGCAACACCTGCCTCGCTCGTGGTATCGCCTTCCTCGTCCATGGCAGTTCTAAGGGGAGAACGCAAAAATGGAAGCCGAGCGCGAACGGCTTGTGCATCTCAAGGAGCTCGAGACACAGAAGCAGCAAGCGGAAGAGCTTCGCTACTTGGCGCGGAGAGACTTTTTTGGGCGAAGAGGAGTGCAAATAGACAGGAGGGCCCTACTAGGGCCACTGTTTGTCTGGAGTGTTGGGAATTGGAATGGCTTTGGATGTTTCACACGCTCCCACACAAAACACAAAAAAGAAGAGAACACACAGAGATGAAAGATGTTGGTTCGCATTGTGTGAACTACAAATGGCAGGCTTTTCTGATTTGCTCAGCCAGATGCCAGGCCAAACTCTACTGGTAGGTTGGAGGCCAGCGCTATCAGGTTCCTTTCGCTGATTAGTTGCCCACAGTGCCTCCAAGGCAAAGAACGAATTGCTCGGGCGCTGGATGGCATGGGCTGTCGGCGCACTCGTGTAGTTCTGACCGAGCAGCCTGGTGTAGTTCTGACCGAGCGGTGCGTGTTTCCAGGGGAAGAGCCCAGACATCAGTGAGTTTAAACATGTTGTCCTTTTGACCGGACATGTAGGAAGGGGTGCCTTCCTAATGTTTGTGGACCATGCAGCCATGCATGTGATGCATAGTGTGATGTATTTTAATATGTGATTTTATGTGTTCTTTTTGGAAGTTTGGACCTGCCAATCACTGCATATGTCCCAGTCAAAAGTTTGGTCAAACGTCTCCATGGCATGTCGTTTCTTTGAGGTTCTTCTCCGGCTGGGCCGCTGTCTATGACAAGGCCAAGCTGGATCAGATGTACCGATTGGAACACAACGAGCAGATGCTGAAATATTCCCAGCACCTCGGTGGCACCGGACCAGCGGACCTGTGGCACCAGACCTGGCTTCCTTCCAACCTTCCGACCGCCACACGTCTTGCCGTTTGGCCGAAGCCAAGGTTCATGCTCGGGCAGAAGTTCCGTAAGGATGCCAAGGCGGGGCGAAGACGGAGGAGCTGCACAGTGGGCGCGGACGGACTGTGAGCAGTCCGTCTCCCAAAGGTGTGTGGAAGAGGTGTTGTACAAGGTTGATCAAGGTTGTACGTTTTTGTTTTTCCTCAACTTTCGACGTATATGAATGGGAAGGGGAGTGTCCCTGATTTCGATTGGCATTGCCAGCGGCAACTACCATTCGGATTCTCGGTTTGCTACAGCCTTCTATTTCGGCCGTGATTCAATTCAAGACACAGGCATGCACAGACCGTGTTCCTGGCACAGCGTTGAGGCCTTGCAGGCAGAGGTCTTCTCTGCTTGGCACATCCATGGCCGCTTCGAAGCCCACGAAGCGCATCACGAAACGCTGCAGGCCTCGTGTTGCGAAACGTCGACATCCTTGGACTCCGATGCCGTTCGATGCTGCTTGAGCCTGTCAGTACCGCCCGGCCGCTGTTAGGAACGCCTGGCTCATGCCAACTCCGATATCCAGCAGCTGGAGCATCATTGCGCAGACCTTCAGGAGAAAAAGGAACATGAAGAACTCAGTGAGCTAGTGTGCCACGGTAGTTACATGTAATTACTTTAAAAGGCTGGTGTGGGGTTTAGAGACGCGAGACCAAGCGTGAATGTGACCGATCTACTTTGTAGCAAAGCTAATATGCCATATGGCCATATGCTATACTTTGTAGTCTAAGATTCCTCCCTTTGATTCAAAAGAATCAGATCTTTTCGAACAAATCCATCTTTTGAGGATGAGCTGCAGATGTACTACCAGCAGATTCGGGATATCACCAACACTCTTCAAAAGGAGCTCCAAACCAAGGAGGAATTGGCCTCTGAACTTCGGGACGCCTATGAAAAGCTCCGCACGGCGAAGGTGGGTCGGTTGCTTCAAGAGAAGGAGGTTTGGTGTTGAACACTTGTAGTAGTTTGTCCTGATGGTTTCCTTCTTTTGTTGTGATTGTAGAATTGCCTGTGCAGTATTGCATATTTCAATGTATCTCATTGCGCTGTAATTATACAGTTGATTGATTATATAATCGAATGCGCAGCCACATTTGGACGGACTTGATGTTGTCCCCGTCTTTGAGTCTGGAGGCTCTAACACCGAACTGAGGGAAGCTTCTGTTTCGCTTCTTCACTTTCAACAGCTAGTCCAAAGTTGAACGTCTTTCTCCAACGACTTCCACCTCTATCCTGAACGGTGCCCTCTGGGCCCTCCAGGCGCCGCCCGGGGGCGACACCGGTCGCTCCGCCGGCAGCGAGCCGCGGCCCCGCGCGCCGGGCGCGGCGACGCCTCGGAGCCAGCGCACGCCGCGCGACCGGGAGCCGCTGGGGATACGGTATCAGGACCTGGACGAAGCAGTTGGGAAGAACATGGAAGAATGCACATAATTACATGTTTTGTTTGGACATGTCCAGGCATGGGAGGATCATGGAGGATCTGATAGATAGTGTTCCATTGTTTTGAGACATCTTTCTTCGAAATGCCCAGATTCTCTGAAGAATTGGAGGCGCTCGCTGCAACCGCTCCTGGCAGGATGGAGGCACTGCAGCCACAGCGCCGGTGTCGGCTCTCGGGCCGAACAAACGGGAAGCCTCTGCGATGTCCTCGGCGTCGACGGCACCCACGCTGCCACGCAGGATACCACGTGGCGAGGCTCGGAATCGAGAGGGGAGCCCCTACAGTAGCTTCTTGCTCCTAGTAGTAAGGCCAGGCCCCTAGTAGCGATGCGCTTGTTCCTAGTAGCTTCTTGCTCCTAGT